AACTCCTGGCACTCGTACTCAACCAACTGCTCGGCCAACGCTTTCGTATAGGTATAGGTGTTGGGCCGGCCTTCCATCAGATGTAGCGATAACTGATCCAATGTCGCCGATGGCAGCCATCTGTTTGGAAATCAGTGATCAGTAGTTGTTATCATTGAATTCAAAGTGAAAATTTGTTTTTATGTGTAAAATATTTTTATTGACAGCATTTGTCATTAGATTTTTTTTGGTTTAAAAGCAATAAAAATGTCTACAAACGTGATGAAAACTCAAATGATCACGATTGACATTGGGTACATCGCGTTTATCTCTATCATATTTGAAGCGTAAACTACATTTTTGACAACTAACTAGATAATAATAATTTAATTGCAACTTTACTGTCCTATTAAGCGTAATTCGGTATAGCTAATAATTCGCTTGGTAATTTTCTACTATTTTAAAATACCTGTTTATTATATAAATATTTATTTACAAAAACAGTTAATAATTAAAATGTAATATTTAGATATGTAAATTGATCTAGGTTTTATAATTATCACAAGTCTAATACAATTAAAAATATTTGTTTTATAAATTTAAACGAAAACACTATTTAATTAAAAATAAAATTATTAATATAAAAACAAGCAAACTATTTTAGTTTTATTAATAAAAATATAAATAGATTTTCATTATTTGTTATTAAATTCATATAAAACAGAGAAAGTCTTGACTACAATGTGTTCGCCACTAAACAAGTGATTGATTTATGCAAACAAATCAAGTCGTTGTCGTGTTTTATTCATTGCTCGACAGCTTATAGCCATTGCCAGAGACAGGACGTCGACGAGAAGTTATACAAAGTCAACACCAATCCATCGGAATTGCTTAAAATGGCAGAGTATGTGATAATTATAAAACCTAGATCAATTTACATATCTAAATATTACATTTTAATTATTAACTGTTTTTGTAAATAAATATTTATATAATAAACAGGTATTTTAAAATAGTAGAAAATTACCAAGCGAATTATTAGCTATACCGAATTACGCTTAATAGGACAGTAAAGTTGCAATTAAATTATTATTATCTAGTTAGTTGTCAAAAATGTAGTTTACGCTTCAAATATGATAGAGATAAACGCGATGTACCCAATGTCAATCGTGATCATTTGAGTTTTCATCACGTTTGTAGACATTTTTATTGCTTTTAAACCAAAAAAAATCTAATGACAAATGCTGTCAATAAAAATATTTTACACATAAAAACAAATTTTCACTTTGAATTCAATGATAACAACTACTGATCACTGATTTCCAAACAGATGGCTGCCATCGGCGACATTGGATCAGTTATCGCTACATCTGATGGAAGGCCGGCCCAACACCTATACCTATACGAAAGCGTTGGCCGAGCAGTTGGTTGAGTACGAGTGCCAGGAGTT